AGCTGCTCTTAAGCACAGGCTGTGTGAGGAGAAGGGTGACATCCTTATCTACGTCGTGGACAGCGGCCAGGTGAGTTCTCCAGCTCTGCTGTCACTGCTGGTGCAGCTTATCCCAAAGTGTGTTAAGTGCTGGATGCAGCAGTAACACAGGTAGAACACCACAGGCTCTTTAGTGTTTTCGGTGTATCTACCTGAGCAGTGATGGGAATTTGCCAGTTGCTGCTTCTTTAAGCCAGGAAAACATCTTCAGAAGGTTCAGCTTTCTGATGTGGAATTTCTCTGTGGATCTTGAAAAATTTTAAGTCTCATTTTGAAAGCAAATGAGATAAAGCAGGGAAGAAAACTGCACCTGGACGAGTGAGCTGAGAACCAGTTGTTGGTGTTTCTTCCTTGCAGTCTGTGCATTTACAAACAGTGTTTGCAGCTGGACAGATGATTGGCTGGTATGACCCCAAAGTGACAAGAGTGGCCCATGCTGCGTTCGGAGTGGTGCTGGGAGAAGACAAGTAAGTGCTTGGGTGCAGTTTTTCCTCTGCATTTGCCTTGGAGAGGATGTTTGAGTGAATGCAGGAGACTTGCTCTTGTGTGTTGACAAGTATGTGACATGCCAAAAAAACCCAGAAGAAAGCACCACATCCCATGCTGTTTTCCATAACTGTGTCATTTAGTTGCCTGTCATTGTCCTTGATCCACGTAGTTACTGGTGCTGCGGTCACATTCCCTCTTGGGCCTGGCTTCTGCTGCCTGGCATTTGGGGAGGGGCACTGGGATTGGCTGGTGGAAGCTGATGTGAATACTGGGAGATGGCAATGGTAAAGGCCACGATTTCCATTACTTTCTACCTTCTTCATGGTAGATGAAACATCAGTTGGGAAAAGTCTGGCACTGGTATTGTATCCTGCCTAATGTCTGGAGCTGGGACTGTTCTGACTGTGGGAGCCTTCCTGGTCAGCACCCCCTGGATGTTCTCTCAGTTTTGTACCTGTCTGTGTGATGGCAATTCCTTCAATACAGAGAGATCTGCCATGTGCTTTTTTGCTAAGCCATAAAGTGTGAGCAGTGGGAATCCCTGCAAGAGGCTCTGGTGCATGTCCTGGATCTGCCTGGGGTGCCCTAGGCAGGGGGTGGAAGTGTTCTGCCTGTTATGCAGGTGGTCATTTTGTCTGTGTGTTTTCAGGAAGAAGTTCAAAACTCGTTCAGGGGATACAGTGCGTCTCATAGACCTGCTGGAAGAAGGCCTGAAACGAGCTATGGACAAGCTGAAAGACAAGGAACGGGACAAGGTACTTGTGACAGAGCGCTTGTCTTTCCTGGGAACTGTGCTGAGTACTGCAGAGCTTCTTGGGGGTGGGAGCAGACAGCTGGCCCTGCAGGTACCGTCAGGTGTCCCTGCTGTGATGGCAACAGCTGTGACTCCCCCAGGATGCAGAAGGTGATGGGAGAATTTGCAGTTTGGGCTGTCCAAAATGCTCTGTGAGGGTTGGAGGATTGTTTGTTATGTGTACATGCAGTTTGTAAGAAGCAGTATGAACATCACACCTGACAGGTGGGACACTGTGGGCTCAGAGGTCCTGTGGGCTGTCAGGAGTCAGCCTTAGCCTGGGCAGGGTTGCAGTGCAGTTGATTGCAAGAGAAGTGAGATGTGAATGTGGGGTTGTCTGGTGCCCTGAAGTGGAGAGGTGTGTGTGAACTGAGTACCACATGGGTAAAATCCCCTCAGCAACCTGGGCTTTCCTCCTGAGCCCTGCTGGGTGGCCAGGGCTGCATGTTGTGGTTCATGAGGGCAGCACAGTGTTCTTCCTCCTGACTGTGATCTGCTTTGAATTTGCACCAGGTCCTCACAGCAGAAGAGCTGAAAGCTGCCCAGACATCAGTGGCTTTTGGATGCATTAAATATGCAGATCTGTCCCACAACAGACTAAATGATTACGTCTTCTCCTTCGACAAGATGCTGGATGACCGAGGGAACACAGCTGCCTATCTGCTGTATGCCTTCACACGGATCAGGTGGGTGAGGGAGCAGCTGGAGTTGGTGCTGATGCTCTGCACATGTGGGCAGAGATGTGATGGTCACATCAGTGCCCTTGGAGTTGGTGAGAGAAGGCAGCTACACTGGGGTGCACCACAGGCAAGATTTTATTTGTCATTGCAAATGGTGTGCCCTGCCACCTGAAATGGCTGCTCTGCGTGACACACATCCCAAGGAGGGAGCTGTGGGAGTGTCTGGTAATCAGAGGATTTAGGTGGTTGGAAAAGGGTCCACCTGTGTTCCAGCAGCTGCTCAGCTCAGGTGTTGCCATACCCCACAGTTTTTCTGGCACCCTGAGCCTGGTTTGCTTGGCAGCATCGTGTGTCCTTGCTGATGTGGGTGCCCAGAGCCCATCCCTCCCTGTTCCTGTGCAGTGCCCTCCTGGATCACCCCAATGACAGGGGCTCCCCCTGCATCCCCAGGGCTGATTGACCTGTTTGGCCTGGTCACCCAGGACTGGACGTCAGTCCTGGGACAGGCCAGACAGGCGAGCAGGCTGGCCCCAGGCAGGCTGAGCAGTGGCAGCCCCACAAGCAGCCCATGTTCTGGATCATTCCAGGGCCATCGCTCGCCTGGCCAACATTGACGAGCAGATGCTGCGGAAGGCAGCCAGGGAGGAGGTGCTTATCCTCGACCATGAGAAGGAGTGGAAGCTGGGCAAGTGCATCCTGAGGTTCCCTGAGATCCTGCAGAAGATCCTGGAGGACTTGTTGTTGCACACGCTCTGTGACTACCTGTATGAGCTGGCCACCACCTTCACCGAGTTCTACGACAACTGCTACTGCGTGGAGAAGGACAGGCAGAGTGGTGAGTGTTGGCCGTGGGGTGCTGTGTGTGCCTGTCCCGTATCATAGTACAGACACTCTCCAGGATGTTTCCCTGTGATGTGAAGGCTGTTGTCACACTACTTGCTGCTGCAGAACAAGGGTCTGTGTGGAAGGACAGCCTGTGTTGTCATCTGCCGGTGAGCAGGAAGGTTGAGCAGAGTTGGGAGCAGCCAGGCACCTGGAAACACGAGGGCTGGTCAGTCTGCCTGGCTTAGGGAGAGCAGGAAGGGCTCAGTGTGCCAGTCCAGGGCCAGGCTGTGGGCAGAGGGGAAGGCACCACTGGTGCTTCTGAGCAGCTGCTCCAGCTCCTCTGGTGGTGTTTTCCAGGCCAGATCGTGAAGGTGAACATGTGGAGGCTGCTCCTGTGCGAAGCCACTGCTGCTGTCATGGCCAAGGGATTCGACATCCTGGGGATCAAGCCTGTCCAGAGGATGTAGCTGTGCCCTGTGGAATGACAATAAAGGGACTAAACAACTGGAGTTGTCTGTGTCTGTTGGGGTGGGGTTGTGGTAAGGGAAGGCGCTGTAGGGGAGCAGCACCCCTTTAGGGGAGAAAGGAAGAGAGGCATGAAAAGCAAGGAGGAAGTAAGGGAAGAAGGAAAGAAAGGAGATGGGGAGGGAGGAAGGAAAAGGAGAGAAAAGGAGTGTGGCTTCAGCCGCAGCAGGTACAGAGACAGACAAGGGCTGTGGGCACAGCTCAGAGCAATTCTCGGTGCAGGATCCAAAGCCCAAGAACTCCAAACACCCAAGGGTACCTTCAGGAAACCCTTCAGCCCCGTGCAGCCACCCACACTCCCAAAACCAGCCTTACTGTGGTGACCCCTCCAACTTCTTTACCTTATTTGCCAGGTATGAGCAGGTCACCCGGCCTTTGGTGCCATCTTGGTGCTGCGGGCAGGCAGGCAGCAGTTTTACCTGGAGGAGCAGGAAGCCCAAGGGAGGAGCAGATCAGTTAACTACACTCCCTCAGAGGAAAACACAAGGGAAATGCTTTTCCCCTCAGGAGCAATGTTTTGAATCCCTACAGAGCTAGAAAACCTCTTTGCAGGGTGTGTGCTGATCTTGGGGAACTGCAAGGAGCCACAACTCCTGCCTTTGCCTTAGGGTTTGTTGGAGGCTGTGCTGTGAGCCCCCTGAAAAGACCTTAAGACTCCTAAAGCAGCACAGAAACGCAGCTTTGCTGCCCATTAGGTGTTGCATTGATAGAGGTGCTCAGTGACATCTGCATGTGTGTATATATATCTATATATATACATATATATATATATATATATATGTACAGATCTATGTAGAATGAAGAGATCTGTGTCTTTATCTGGTGTCCCAGGTTCTTCCCCGTATAGACAGCTGGGGGAGGGATGGGCTATCACAGCTGGTCAGTGCCCTGCCCCTCATGTGCAGGGCACCAGCTGGCCCTTCAGCAAGGGCAGCCCTGTGCAAACACACTGATGGCTGGCCCACAAGCATCAAACACAAAACAAACACAAAAAAAACCAAAACCAAAATGAAACAAAAAAACCCTCAGTGCCCACAAACCCACCCTGCTGGTGACGGCCACACGCTGTGCTCCCTGACTCCCTCTGTGCACTCACCTGCACCCACAGCCCTGCCATGGCTGTGCACTCCCTCCTTCCAGGGCTGGACAGGATCCCCTCCTGCCCTACCTCTGGGAGGTGCTGGGCAGGCCTGGGGGTGGCAGTGGTGATGGGTCCTGCTCACAGGGGCGAGGCCAGGCCAGGCAGGGTCAGGTTCAGTGGTGGGAGCAGCGTCAGCCGCAGTCCAGCAATGGCCACACTGCCCAGAGTCCAGGTGTGGGTCCAGAGCAGTGGGAGTGTGGCCAGGGGCACAGCAGAGGCTGCCCTGCCGAGCAGAACGGGGACAGCCTTCTCCAGGCTTCTCCAAATGCCTCCCCTGGCAGGGCAGGGGGCACAGCAGCAGGACCCCAGGGCTGGAGTCAGCAGTGATGCTGGAGAGGCGCTCTGGTTGCCGCAGGGTGTGTGGGATGTCCGTGTGTCCAAGGGTAGCTCCGAGTCCCCATGGGGCTGTTCCAGGAGGCCATGCAGCCAGGGACAGGGCCAGTCCCATGCTGACCATGGGGTACAGGGCAGGCAGCAGGTGTTGGGGCACCCCAGTGGTGCCCTTGGGGATGGCTAGAGGGGTTCAGGCCACTTCTGAGGAAATGGGGACCTGTGGTTGGGCTGGGGGTGGATGGGGACACTGAGGAGTCCTGTCCAAATTGGAGACTGATGCCATGCAGGGGACTCCCTGCTCTGAGGAGAGGTGTCACTCAGAAGATGGGCTGGTTGTGGGAGTCAGTGCTGGAGGAGCCCTGGGGCAGGGCCATGTGTCAGACAGCTCAGGGGAGCCAGGGGACGGTGGTCCTTGCCCAGATGGGGTGCTGGAGCAGAAGGTCCCAGCTGACTGTCAGGGTGCACCAAGGGCTGATGGCACCCCTGAGGGAAAAGGGCCAGGTGTCAGGTGGGATAACAGAGCTGGCAGGGCAGCTGCCCAGTCCCACAGTGCCTGAGCCAGGCCAGGCATGGCAGCCAGGGTCAGCCAAAAATCCAGATCATCAGACACATCCACGGTGACGAGGTCCGAGGTAGAGCCAGGAAGGTGAGTCGGCAAGGGAGGTCAGGATCAGGTCCAGGGACAGCAACCAGGGTCAGCCACAGTCCAGCGATCACCAGGCAAGTCCATAATGATGGGCAAAGGCCGTGGTCAAGCTGGGAAGTCAGTCTGTGGGCCAAGGTCCAGGTTCAGATTACTGGGCTCCATGGCCAGGCACAGGCATAGCTGTTGCTCTGGCCAGACCCCAGCAGCAAAACCTCAACTTCAACCCACTCTCCAAGAAGGGATGGCCAGGGCCTCCCTGCCAGGGCTCATGGCAGCCTCTGCCCCACAGGTGCTCTCTAAGGTGGCCCCAAGCCCAAGGAGTCAAACCCTCATTGCTGATGGGGATGGAGGGGGACTGAAGGAGCCCTTACAAATAGTTGCAATAAACCTGCAATGACACTGATTTTCTCTTTGATGGCACCAGCAGGACTCACACATGTCACAGGCCCAGAGAAACAGCTGGGCTGGCAGGGACCTCTGAGGAGCAATGCCCCATCTGCTGCTCTGAGCAGCCCACCCACCCCAGGGCTCTTGCTTTGCACGGTGAGGGACGTACCTGGAAGAGCCTGTTGCACTCCATGATCATGTGGGCCAAGCCCTGCGTTGCTGCCAGGTTCTCATTCAGCTCCCTCTGGTCTGGCTTCCCTAAACTGCACTTCCTCTGACTGGATCTATGGGGAGAGGAAGGTGAAAGGAAGGCTGGGTGAGGTGCTGGGAACCACACACAAAACACACTGCCCTGAACAGCCCCCGTGTGCCATGTACTGGTGTCACATTCCTGCAGAGAGGTGCACAGACAGAGCTCCCTCCCAGCACACCCCAAAAGTGTCCAGGGTCCCACTGACTGACCAGTAGTAATGGATGCCCAAGAAAGGCAAGCCAAGGATTTTATTCCCCAAGCACATCATCACACACTTGGCCAAGGACAGCAATGACCCCAAACTGATTTGTGTGTAGACTTCACATATCAAGCTCCTTTGATACCTGCAAAGCCCATGTAGAACCTTTTAAAACCTTTGGCCCAAACCACACCAAACACGTCTCAAAAACAGTCCCCTCTTTTAATTCATATCCATTGTATGACATCATTAATCCTGGCTTCTGAAACTTTTAGCTACGTGCATTCCTGCCAAATGGCTTGAAAACTGGGTGGAAGATAATAATCCTCAGTGCTGCTCCTCAGAGTCAGACCTGCCGGCTCATAGCCTTTGAAGTCGGAGCCCTGCACCAAGGCATTAATGCACAGCTATAGCAGAGCTAAAGCTTCAAAGCATCCTGGCCTCTAAACACTGACAACAAAGAGAAAACTCCATTTCTATTTTTGGTCCTAGCATTTCCAGGGTAAGGTTGATGTAAACCAAAGGGGTACAACTCCCAGAGTGAGACTCCCAGGAGCTCCAACACCACAGCAATCCAGCAGGACCTGCTGCCTCTGACGCTCCATCGCATCCCCAGCTGCCCTCTCAGTGTCCCCACAGCTCCATTGCTGTGAGCTGGCTCAGCACAGGGATCCTCCAGGCACTTTCAGATGTTCTGTGCCATTCAGGAGAAAACCCTTAAGTGTTTTCTTTCCCCTCCCCTGTGCTGTCCAGAGCCTGTAAGATGCCAACAGCACATCTGACAGCTTCTGCTTTGGGACTAGTCCTCAGCTGTAGGTCTCCAGGTGATGGGTGCACAGTGCTTCCCTCCCAGTCAGCTGTGCATCCCTGCCCTTGCACATGCCTGTCCATAACTCAGGAGCACAGAGCAGAGCAAACAGCCCTGCCTCAGGAGGCCAGATAAGGCATGAATGCTCTCAGAGATTATTTGTCTCCTTTGGCCCAAGGGCACCTTCCTCCTTGCACGTACAAACAGAGGATGTTATGCAACCCAGATACTTTTACTTATTAAGATAAATTTACAGAATCCCTGTGGCTCGATTTGGCAGGAATGATCCCCTTATCACCCAGCAGAACCAGCGCCAGGAGCTGCTGCGATCTGCCAGGTACCTGCAGGGCCCTGAAGCTGCACCTGGGCTCAGGTTGCCGGAGCAGGAGCACATTTCCAAAGGCCAGCATCACTTTAAAGCCACAAGCTGGTTCCTGGGCAGCTGGACCATGAACAACCACAGGGAATACAGGAGTGAGGGACACACACAGACTGGTCAGGAGAACAGCAGAGGGGCCTCACCACTGCTCTGGGCAGTGAGTGGCTGGAATGCTCCATGCTCTGCTCCTGCTGCACCTGAGCAACCAGAAAGCATTGCTCCAGCAAAGGGGACCATGGACAGCAGCAGTGCCAGCATCAAGATGTCAATACCTGGTGGAGGAGGAGCTGTCCCGCCTCAGGGTGTTGAGGTGAAACAAAGAAGGTGCAAGACAGACAGCAATGTTGGTTGGGGTCATCTGGTTTTCCTCGACAAAAGCAACCACATCTCGCAGGAAGAACAGGAGGATTTTCAGTGCTTCTCGGTTTTCCTTTGGGAGAAGGAGAATGGCAGCCTGGACAGCCTGGAACTGCTGATCCTTTGGCACGTCTGGAGACAGAAAAAAAGATGAAAAACACATGTGGCTTGCAGAGGCAGTAGGAGAAATGGTACATTTGGTGTGACGGCCTTTCCTTGTCTCCTGTGAGTCAGGGACAGGGAAACGGATGAACCTACAGGCTCAGTGCCCTGCTTGGGACCCTGCTGATGGATGCACAGGGTATCAGCAGCCTGTTAACTTACATCAAAAAAGGTCACATTTAAGCCGCAAAACCCCTCAGAAATCTCACACTTCGCCTTCCTAAACCTTTTCTCAAAAACAAGACCATCATTAGTCCCTTCAGCAAGTTCCTTCCCCAGCACAGCTGGGGAGCTCTGTCATACCTTGAACAAGGGGAACAGATTAGTTCTTCATTTCACATAAAGAAATGACTGTTTAAAAATGCAGTTTGAAAGGGGCTGCTGCAGCACGTTATTACACTCATCCTTCAAGGAACAGAAATAGCTGGCCCATAGGATGCAGATGGGAAGCTCTGAGGTCCAGAGCCACAATTAACTCATCTTTTCAGAAATGTCCTGCCTGACTTGCCTCCTCTGACTACAAGGGGACCTGGCCCTAGCCCTAGTCTGGCCACTACCTTGAACAGCTGAATATTAAGATATCTAAGGCACTGGAAAACTGTGTCTTTTGTTACCTACATTGGTAGATGTGGAGGAAGGATTCACAGAGCCTGCTGGTAAATATGGGCTCGGGAAGGTCTCGGAAATACTGCTTCACCATGTCTGCCACATCAAATGCTGACTGCCCTTCATAACAGACGTTGTTTGGGTTGGTTTCATTCATTTCTCTTAAAGACAGAATCCTGGATTTAACACCAGATTTCCGGAACAGGCCAACCTGTGGGTAAAAGAAAATATTAGAGACAAAGAAAGGAGTCATCAGGAATCAAAATCCTGACAAATAATTGCTCCTTCACCTTTCTTTTGATAGCAAAGACCCTCTGGCAGTGGGATCTAACACCAAAATACTTTTGTATCATCAGAAGCACAGACATTCCTCCCAGGCAAACCATGCCTGATGCCCACAGAACCAGAAAATACCAATTGTCATGTTTGCTTTCTTTTTATTTAATGCAAAATTACTCTTTTTGACTTTTAAAATCACTGCTATTGACATCTGTCCATGTACTTGGGCAGGCTGTGTTCACATACATCAACTGCAAGTTTCACATACACCAATGTGTGTCCACTCAATCACAAACACACATCTGTGCCTGTGCTGGAACAAACAAACTGACTCTGAGATCCACAAGGCTCAGGTTTAACACATCTGGTACATCTAATCCATCCACAGGCTGGCAAAGGGCAGTTACCATCCTGAGGGAAAGGATGATTTTATTTTTCATATAATTTAATATAATTAAATTATTAAATTAATATAATTTATTTTAATATAATTGTCAATCAAGCTTTAGACAAAACCAAGATTTAGAGGTTTCCCATGAACTCAACCCCAACACAGCTTCTGCTGACAGTTCTGCTTTGTGCCACTGAGACAGTATTTACATTATTTGGTTTATTTATGTTAACCAATTGGGTACCACGACCTCAAAGTGAAACACACTTGTACTGTCACACACACTTTTGTATTTTGGCATGATATTACACACCTAGACAGTGGCAAAGCACAGAGGGGGAAAAAAGTCCTCTCTCTAACTGATGTGCCTCATGTCCCAGGGTCTCCCATTTCTGCAGCTGTGCTATGGAGATACCATATGCAGCCCACACTTTCACTGCCACCTGCACTTAGGGGATAAATACAGAGCTGAGATGCAGAAAAGGATGTTACAGGCACTGTTGTAATACGTTTTCTCTCTGCTTAGTGGTACATTTCAGCTGAAACAAGATTAATTTTCACATTAGCTCTGGCACTACCAGCAACCACAGAGCAGAGGGAACAATGACATTGTCTGGCAGATTTACCTCCTTATGGAGCAGAGACATGACACCTCCCCGGGCAAAGACAGCCTGGCTGCCTGCACCAGCTGCAGAGGGTTTCAGTGAGGCAAGGCACAAAAGCACAGTACAGGACTAAAGGTATTCCCAGCAGGAATCAGCACTGGTATTTCCTCTCAGGCTCAGACCCACAGCTTTCTGCCTGTTCAGAGCCTCATGGGGGCAAGAAAGCCCTTCACAGAAGAGGGAAGCAGAGTCTGGTTCCCTGGAGAAGATCCATTCATGGCCTAAAGCTTCTCTGGGCTGCCTCGAGTTCATACCTGGTCAAGAAAGTGGCTTCTCAGGTAGTCCAGGGCTTGCAGGATCCCGTTGGGCAGTGGGTGGCTTGTTCGCTGCACGTTCAGGAGTAAAGGAACCCCAAACACGTTTTTGTCCTTGTAGTCTGAGGCTTTGGGTTTTTTAATGAACTTGGGTATGGTCCTGGAAAGAAAAAACCAGTCCATGCAACTTATTAGGTCCCCAGCACACTCCACCTGCTGCTTTATATGCATGGGAAAGCATTTAGTTGTACCTTGTCACTACCCAAATTCTGCCACAGACCTGCACACACAGCACCATAGAGGGATTAGCTGTAAAAAGCATCCCCATGGGAAATAAATTCCACCCCTTTAGGGCACTGCAGGCTTTTTTCACTTCTTTCTATATTCAAGCACCAGCTCCCTATCACAAGATGCTGACTGATGTCCTTTAAGTGTGTGACTTCATCACTGTTCTAGTTCAAACAGAGACTGAAGAGCTGTATTCTCAGCCCTGCAATCCCTGTGAAGCACCTCTGACAAAGCCCTGGAAACAGGCAAATTTAAAGGGAACCTCTAATGTGCTTTAAAATCAGTAACAGTGAGGAGCCAAAGCGCAGCCCACAGCAGAGGAAATCCTGGAGCCTTGGAAACAACCACGAAGCTGATGGAGATTTAACAGGATGAAATTCCTCATGTGTAATCTAGCCAGACAAGGAAGTTCACCTGCTTGCACCTCTCTTTCCAGCACAGGTTGCTTTAGTATAAGACAACTTACCAGTTCCAGCCCTGCTTGCTGGAAGGGGAATATCTGTCCATTAAAGCAGTGAGCTTCAACAACGCCAGCTTTTGTGTCCGGGCCAGCTGGGCAGCAGACTGGCTGTCACTCTGCATGGAAAGGCTTTCCAGGTTCACACTTTCTTCCACAGACCAGTGTTGCCTCCTGTGCCTGTGGGATAAATACTGTTCAAGCTTAGGATCATCCCCATCATCCCTGTTAGTTTTCTATCTGCAGCTTTGAAGCACCTTAGACTCTAAACGACCCACCACATGGTTTGTTTTGTTAATTGCACTCAAACAAGGTGCTTCCTATCCAACAGGTCCTCTGGTAATACCAGCTCTCTCCCTAAGAAATACAGCAAGCTGGCAGTAAGGCCTGATTCCAAATGTCTGAGTGCTCATGCAGATCACGAGTGTCCTGCTTTCAGCAGAGGACAGATGTTGTCACCAGAGTGCCCACGGACCGGTGGTACCTGCCACCAACAGAGCAGACCCTGCTGCCTAGAACAGACTTAAGAATACTTAAGAATACAGCAATTACATTTTGAGTGACCAGAATCAAAGGGAACCCTAAGGATGGCTGACCTGTTGGCCTTTTTAGAGTCTGTGATGTATGTCAGATCTGCAGAGCCAATCTCCTTGCCCAGGCCACAGCTGCTCTCTCCCTCAGTGTCCCCTGTTGTCTTGTCTTCTGGGCCCTCCGTTTCAAGAGAGCTTTCTTTAGGGGAGGATGGACACAAAGAGGTCAAGTCACTGGCAAAGTCAGAATCCCCATCATCTGACAGCTTCTCTGTCCACTGATCAACCAACTTTTTGAGGCCGTTGACATCTGCTATAACACTGTTCAGCTCTGAGAAAACGTCATCATCACCGACTTGTGCCGCCTCCAGATTGTCAAGGTCGATACTGGGCATGTTGTCATACACACTTAGCCTGTTACAGGAGCCCGAAAGGGGACTCCTGGGGGCTTTGGGCTCCTTGGAACTGCTTCTGCTCCGGCTTCTCCTGCACCCGTGAAAACTCCCAGTTCTCCAGTTGACAGAAGAGTTGTCTGCTGGAGACAGGGAGCTGTCTGTAAGCGCTGTGGGGAACGTGCCAGGTTTATGGCCTTGTGGTATTTGAAACATCTGGGTTTTTTGTAATGTCATGTCATTTTTCAGGTTTTGCTGAGACAGGTCATTCCACAGCAAGAGCTTGCTGGAGTCTGTGTGCTCTGCACACATCCCCCTTCCCTCACAGGGGCTGCCTGGTTTTATACCAGGGCTTGGAGCGCTCACTGTGCTGCTCTTTCCAGGCTGACTGCTGCTGCTGGGACTCCGGGGAGAAAAGGAAGAATTGCTCTTTGTTTGGAGGCCAGAGAGGTCAGAAATATTTACACAGTTCAGCATCTTCATCTTTTCTTCATTAAGCCCTTCCAGAAGAACAGGTTCACTTATTATGGGTTTGGCCTTTGACTGACCACTCCTTAAGTTGCAGCTCCTTAAGTGCAGCTTCTCCATTTTCTTTAGAAGGCTCTTCCTCTTTTTGGATGGTGACTTGTCCAAAAGCTTTTGCTCACTGGTGTTATTTAAAAATTCACTGGGGGGAAGAGAACAACTGAAAGTAGAGTCCAGTGAAGGTACCTTAATTAAGGAACATCTCGAGGAACTCGTGCTGGTTTCCACATCTTCAAAAGGTTTTGGGGAGCTCACAGTGTCACTGTCAGCACTGCTGGTGCTGTGAACTGAGGACACATCGTGCTTCTCTCCATGATCCAAGAAGACACTGTCCTCCTTGCTGATGATCTTCAGGACTGGGCTGCCTGGGACAGAGGCACTGGCACCTCCCTCTGCTGGGAAACCCTCCAGGCTCTCGATTCGAGACCACCTCTGACTGCACCTCTCATAGGCCCACCTACTACTTATTGCACAGGGTTCATCATCTTCAGAATCATCACTCTTAGAAGGGGGAGAAAAAAACACACAAGTCAAGATCAAGTTTTAAATTTTAAATTACAAAAAATCCCAAATTTAACAAAAAAACAAACAAACAAACAAACAAAAAAAAAACCCTAAATTTTTTGACTGCCTACAAAACCCCCAAGACCAACATATGGAAATGTGACCATTCATTCACCGAAGGGTTGCCCTGAGTTACTTGAAAAACATGCTGTAAAATTACTCCCAAGCACGCTGACAGATCTGGGAAGTTTACCACAGGAAAAGGGGAGAGATTTGACCTAAGGGTGAAAAATCCTGGTTTGTGGCAAATCTACAGAATTTGAAAGATAATTTTATTGAATTTACATGGCCTTTCCTAAGGCCAAACAAATCAAACAGTCTAATGGCCAAAATTCATTCATTTTCCGGTAAAGAAGTGATTGGCTGTGGGACTGTGGCAGCATCAATATCTGTGGCACCCTCTTGGACTCCTCAGCCTCCCTAATTGCTCTATTGTCCCCATTCCAAGGGAACAGTGGGATAGCAAAACATCTCTTCTCTGTGGGCTCTCTCTTGCCCCATTCCTTCCTAATGACAGAGTGGAATTTTCCAAAAATCTAGACATTTTTCCAGAAGATGGCATTATTTTCTTGCTAATCCTGCACTTAATCTGAGGCTTTGCAGTCCTGGTGTTGCCCAGCCAAGCTGTGATTATCACTTTGTTTCGGTTGCAGAACCTTTTGTAGGAGAGGACAAAACCAGCACAGCTAAAACCCCTCTGTCTCCTATGGACTCAACATTTGGGTTGCCCATTTAATTTCTTTGCTTACTGGGAGTAAAATTTCACTTTCAGCAATTAAATAAGGTGTGAAACTATTTAGGAAAGCAACGATAGACATGTTGAGGTGGGACCTTGGTGGGACAGTAACATGTTCCAAATTAATTTTTAAAACTGTTTCAAAGCCCACTCCTAACCCACCTTACAAAGTTAAGAATTGAAAAGTGACTAATTTCAACCTCAATCCTTGTATTTTTCAGCAGAAAACACAAGTGGAAGAGCTTTTCAGAATGGAAGAGAATAAAAAGGAAAGTTTAGATATTGTTAATCCTTCCTGCACTTTTCAAAACCAGGTTTTTGATGCAATAGCTGAACACATTTTTAATGAGAACAGTAACTGTGTTTTACAAACATACCCGTTTCCTCTGACGGCCTATTTCCACTTTCATTGATGCACACTTGTTCAGTGTGTTCAGCCGTCTGGGGCATGAGAAAAAACACACAAGTTTTAAATTTAAATATTTATTGAAAACAGAAATGTGCCAATACAATTGCGATCTTCTTCTACAGCGTCCTCATTATTGGTGTTCAAGATTGACATTCTTTTAGAGGTTCCTCATACATTTTGCCAAAACCAGCACCAATAACAACCCCATGATGTTCACACTTCCAGTTTTGCCATGTTAAAACTAGAGAAGACAGCCATAATTGATAATTAAATTTAATAAAATCATATTATTAGCTTTCATGATTGTGAAGAACTGTCTATTGAATTAAGATTTGCCAGGAGATGAACTTTCCAGTCCCCTTAAGAGGCAGAAATTCTAATTTCTGCTGAAGGAACTCTGATGAACAATCCCACCACGAGAAGGCTTCAGACACCGTGGTATGAAGTGAAGCAGAATTCCTCACACTTCCCTGGCACCTTTCCATGGGGAAAGGCCAAAGGGCTGTGGGTTTGGCTTCACACTGACAGTGCAATTTCACTTATATGTGCTCTGAACAGCTGTGGCAAAACAATAGTTTCAAATCAATACCTTTGCTTCTCACTCAAAAAACATTCAGAAAGAAAAAAGGAGGGGATCTTGTGCAGACAATTATTTTTGTCTATCTGCTGGAACAGAAATTGGCCAGTCAGAGGAAATTCCTGCACTCCGTTATACATGATCCTGGAGAGCAGCCTGCTATGCATGCAGGGAACTGATTATTTTTTCTCAGCCTGCAGACATCTCACATTACAGAAAAGACAGATCTGATGCTCAGTATAACATCCCCAAGACCTTGGATGGAGTTGTTCAGACACATGGTTACTTCTCTTTTAAATTCTTAAAGCAACCAACTTCACTGGTGCTAAACCATGTGCTTAAGTGATTTCCTTCAGTCACAGAACTGGTGACTTTGTTAGTCTCTGACAGAAACAAAAGCATGAAAAGATAAATGACAAATAACTGTGGGGCCTGGAGGTGTTAAAGTTGACTCATAATTCATGTTTACCTGAAGAGTGATTCAATTGCATCTCCATCTAAAAATTCATGATCTTTCCTCACAGTTTTTACATCAATGGGAAACTGCATATCTGTAAACAAAGAAGTTGAATGTGAAATCTGAGTTTTAATTGCAAAGACTTTCAATTTTGCAACACTATTCATCAAGGGAAAGGAATCTAAACCTATTTTTATAGCTGTATATTCATGCAAAGATCATTCAAGTAAGTGAGGGTTAGTTCCTTAGAGCAAGAATAAATGTAGGGATCTGCTTGCTGCTGTTGGTTACAGGTAGACAAACACTCCTGCATTTCCAGGAGCTTGTAGTGTTGTAGACAGGAAATACAAAATAAAGTTTGGCTCTGGTTTGGTTCTGTGCACCTTCAGGTGTAGAACAGGGAGTATTTCACATGAGCTCTGTGCTGCTGAGGTTCAGTGCAGCACATGACATGCACACTATGAGCTGTAATGAGTCTGATAAATCATGCTGGGCTGGAAGCTGATCGATCCACCAGCTGAGGAGGTCAGTGTTTCAGCTTCTGAGATCTAACCTTGCAGGCGAGGAAACCACTAAGGTCTAGTGGGTATTTTCTTGGCTTATTTTTTCAGCTTAATTTCCCCGGTCTGCAAATTACACTGGGGATTCGTTTTCCAGAAGCACGGCAGTGTACATTTCCAACACACAGCTTGTAGAATGAAATCTGCTGTAGTCAGGCAGGAAGTACTGCCATGAGGCAGCAGGTTTCATAGCACAGAGCTTTCAAATCCAGCTCTGTGGCTTGGCTTCGAGTTTTTAATTTTGCAGTGAACAGGGGGAGGTGGGAATGAGAGCAGGCAGAAGTCACTGTTGGTTTTTTTAACTGTAGTTCTTTGATAAAATCCCTCTTAAAAATAAATTAGCTTTTGTTACACTCAGTGTTTGTGACAATAAACATATTTCAAAGAAGAACAGTTCTAAGGTACAAGTGTGGCCTGAGAATCATACAAGTTCTTAATAAATCCATGCCTCCCTCACAAGAAATGAGCATTCTTTGTAGATTTAATGACATGAAAAACATGCTGAAATTGCTTTTTTTTTTTTGATGGCTGGCTGCTGCTGGGTATCAGTTTTAAACACTTATGATTGCAAGATGATTTTTCCAACCTTTTTCAAAACACCAATAAAGCAATCCGGCTCAGGCTGGAGAGCCTTGGAGGAGTTGCAATCAGTGGTTGGAAAAAAACTCCAGCACTACAAATGAAAGAGCCTGAAAAAATTATAAGCAACTAAAAATCACAAAAGCAGAGATTTTTCTGAGTTACAGGAGAAGGAAAGGAGGAAAGATGTGGTCCTTTACAGAATTCTACTGAGTCCCTGCTGAGATGTCCCTTCTGCAAGAGCTTCACTATTTTTCTGAAGATTTCCATGAATATATGCCAGAATTTGGAAGTGCTTCCATCAAAAGTGTCAGCTTCTGAAATATATTATTTATGTGAACAATTCCACTCCAGTTCAGTGGCAGTTGCTTTGTGATCATACCTTCAAACAGCTGAGCATACTGGGGAAAGCCGGCAGCCCTCAGCCAGTCACAGGCCTCTCTGGCTTCAATTTCTGCAAGGAGAAGACACACTTGTTCATGTACAGTGTTCACCACAGTCAGTGCTTTCACAGTATGAGTGAATTTTGCCTGGTGGATCCTCTGAGGATCTTGTGTTTGGTTAGGATGTCACTAAAGAGGAATAAATCCTCGTATCCAACTCCCATGGCTCCAGAGCAGTCATCCCACCACAGGATGGATGAGCAAACACACGAGAGTCTAGATATGAGCACATAGTTGAGATGTCCCACATGGATGCACATCAGCTACCCCTGAGCTGTGGGCAGTGGAGCATCTGTTCCATGCTGAAATGAGTCACCAGGGAAGGTGCAGAACACACGACTCTGCCCTTGCGCAGCAAAGCCCCTTCGTGCATTCCAGCTCTGAGAGATGGTGATAAGACCCAAACAAACCCTATAAATAAACTTAAAATGCTATCACAACCTTAATAACACTGGACACGGCCTAAGCATTCCCAGAACAAGAGTTCTCAGGAGTACCTGTTGCTAGGGTCTATCAATATTTATTTCCTTGCCAACTACCTACGCAACTTGGCAGTCCCTGCAGCGCTGCAGATGTCAAGAATTAACTACTCATTTTGTGACAATTCCTAAAGCCCTATGGCCAGTTCTGTAATATTCCCACAGGAGCAGAGCAGAATATAACTTCAGAAACTCGCAGAGCACTCACCAGATTCCTCAAAAACACAAGCAGGTCAGCATGAGTACCTGCCATCAGGCTCCAAGCTCTGCCAATACTAGAAATTACCAGCTCTGTGGAAGAGGAGAGGATTCCCATTTGCACTTTCTGTGAGCCTGTGTGCTCTCCAGATCATGCCACAACAGACACCAACCTAAAGGCAAAGGTTCCTTTGAAAAAAATGTTTTTAAACTACCTTAAAATCAAGTATGCTCAGTAGAGAGAAATGTTTTTAAAGCACCTTAAAGTGGTGGCATGATAGGCTGGTCCTGTTCCTTAAAACTATTTTCTTTACACATACACTCACAGATTAGGATTCCAAAGCACTTGACGTACATACCTGTCCAAATTCCCCGCTTGCTTTGCTCAAACTCCTCAGTTGTAAGTCACCAGTGCAACAGACTGAAGAATCTCACCAAAGAAACTGCACAACTTCCATAATTTTATTGTTCTACTTCTAAACTTGAAATTGTTTCCATTATCACTTGATTATTTTGGACAATGACATCCATAAAACAGGCTTCCCTGTGCAGCCTATATATACTATGCTTACATGTATTACTATACTTAGTGCCATAATTCATCATAATCTTTGCCACAACACAGCATTTACAGAATACCAAGAGAGGGGACTGAAAAAGACCAGCATTGTATGTAGAGAGAAAAAAAAAAGAAAAAAGAAAGAAAGCAATCTTTAGAAAAGAGACAGGTGGGCCACCATTCTAACACCAAAAGTCTTCACAAAGTGATTTTCTCTTAGAAAAGCTCAGTGAACTCACTCAGCCACCTCAGTGTGGAGAAACTACAGGTGTCCTAATTCCAGACCTGTGCGCAGCTCCCCTGAGCTCGGACAGACAGTGACTGTGCAGGGGTTGAAGCTTCCCCAGCTGAAGCAAACCAAGCCCTGAACTGTGATGCAAATAAAAACAGGCAGAAAAATGTTTTGCATCTGGTGATGACATTTTCAATGAATATGACTGAAAATACAACGGAATTGTCACACCTACAGGTGGTTTTTTCCATAGGACAAGGACAAAGGACCTCGGGGAATTTTCTATGCTAATATAAATCTTCAGGCCTTTTAAGGTACCTTTTCCCAGTCACAGAGGAGGTTTAGATTAAATATTACGAATAAATTCTTCCCTGTGAGCGTGGGGAGGCCCCGGCACAGGTTGTCCAGAGAAGCTGTGGCTGCCCCATCCCTGGAAGTGCCCAAGGCCAGGTTGGACAGGGCTTGGAGCAACCTGGGCTAGTGGAAGGTGTCCCTGCCCATGGCAGGGGGTTGGAATTGGATAATCTTTCAGATCCCTTCCAATCCAAAACATTATATGATTCTATAAATTATCTGCCATTAATTATGTGATTATTCATTGCTAAAATAACTACCAAAAGGGTCCTCCTGATATCTCCACATTTCAGTGGCTTCTGTGATGCCTCCTCCTACTGGAAACTGAAATCACGAAGGGATAATGGATGGTTAGGAATTTTACTATGGTGGAAGGAAATTCCCAGACCAGCTTGTATTACTACAATAATGAACATGAGAGGAGGAAATAAAAAAGGAAGAAATAATGACTCAAAGGAAAGTAGCTGCTCTCCATAGGGCCACCCTCAGCACTGACATGCAGGTCTGCTTTGCTTTTATGGCACGTGCAGCATGAAGGACAAGTGAAAGCTCATCAGACAGCAGTGGCAAGATGCAGATGAAGCTCCCCAGCAGTGCTCTCCCCAATGGAGAGTTCTACAAATAAAAGTCACAGAGACATAAAAGAAGAGCAATAATCACGAGTAGCATTGATGGGTGACACCAGCACACCCACCTTGGGCAGCAGCTCTTATAAACAACGTGCCACAGACGCTTAAAGCCCTGCTTATAATAGGGAGGGGCTAAAGTGGCAACATCAGTCCTGGCAACCTGCATGATGCTTTAAGGCATGCATAGAAAACCAGCCAAAGCTCAGTTTCCTACGTAAGATTCCCCATGAAAAGCAGAGATGATCTTCTTGAAGCATCTTTGGGGCTATTGAAAGCACCCTCACACTAGATTTTTGGCAAGACAAATAGTACGGATGAGCCCTTTGTGAAGACCCATTCCAAGCTTGGCTTCACAGCCTCTCTGCTCTGCCTCACATGATGAGATGCACCTTCCCAACCAGCCTCTCTGCCTGGTTAGAGTTTGATTTCCCATTTCTGTAGTCACACTGTCGCTGCAAAAGAATCTTCCAGGTTTGCAGACTAATTTCTAAAATCAATGTGCAATAAACCCAAGCTGATAGCAATTGTGTAGTCTTTCTTGACGTTAGATCAGATGCTTGTTGGAGAGAAGCTGACTCTTCCTTCATAAAAATAAGGAATGGGGGATCCTTCATAAAGCAATCTGGAGCAGCACTCCCAAATACTGTTGCAATCACAGCACATCTGCCTGTAAACTGGATGTCCTACAAGAGCAGGACATTTTTTTAACGTCTTTTGGGTGCTATCTGTACCACTGAAATGGCACCTAAATGTGTCAACTCCCTCTCCTGAACCGATTTCATAATTAAGCAGATTAGAAAACAAAAAAAATCCTGCAAAGCTTAATATCCTTAAATTAGAGGCTGCCAGCAACATTTCCATGCCAAGCCAGCTATTTCCCCATGGGCTACGGGTGGTAGGTTACTAACAGATGTTTATGAGAAACAAGGCAGAGCACAGGGCCTGTGCCAGCCTTTGGCTGTCCTGTGCTACACAGGTACGTTCTGTGCTGAAGGTTCAGCCCAGTCCCACTGCAAACAGCACTCAAACTGCTGGCTGTGCCCCAGCCTGCCTGTCCCAGCAACCCCAGCACACCAGCCCTCCACAGCTGCTGCCCCTCGTTCCCCACTGGGATGCTGTCTGTAATCCACTGCACCCTCCTCTCCAAAGCACCAGTACCTCCATCAGCTTGGCTGTGACACCTCTGCTTCATCCACCTGGCCTGAAAAACTGTGTTCCCCATCTGAGCACTGTCCTGTTTGCAGACTTCAGCACCCAGACTCTTCAGCTACTTAGAAACCAGATGCTACAACGTGTATTCATCCCTATCGTAATGAACATCAGTGTTAACAGGAATGTTTGCAATAAAGAAAAGACATCTGTGCTGAAATTTGGGCATTCTCTCTGAGATGTTTTCCTCACAAGAAACAGCACTTTCCTTACAACGAGGGAGAGGCAGCAACTGAAACCAGTGACAGCTGTATATCAAACAGGCCACTCAGCCTTACCACAAGATGGTCACAAACTTCAGCTACAGAAGAGTGTCAAACTGTACTTCAGATTTTTTAAAATACTCTCTCTAAATAAAGTGGGAGGATACAAATTTGTATTTGAAAGCATAAGTACAACAAACCTCACTGTCAGAATGCAGTGTGACTTCCAGCTGCACAGACCTACTGCCAAAGCAGGAGAACCTCTTCCTTTCCTTTCCCCAACTGCATGTTCCTCCTCACCATCACCCTGAGCCTATGCCAGGAGGTCTCATCAGCCAAAACAGAAGGAAAGGAGTCACTTTTTTTTTTTTTATAAGGTTAAATTTGTGATGCTTTATCTTTCTGAATCTGCTATCATATGTTCTGATGAGCTCCAGTGGCAGGACAAGAGCAGTGGTGGGTACGAGCAGAGAGAAATCTGGGAGCACGCCCTGTCCACCCCAGCTGGCAGTTCTCAGGGAGCTGTCTGGTGTGAAACCTTCCCCTAAATGTATCCCTTTTTCACAGAGGTGTCTAATTCTAGGTCTAGTTCAAAGCAATTTTTAATCAGGTTTTTAAAACCCATGGTACCTGTATTACTTTGACTTCTATCCTTGTCCAAAATAGTTTTCCAGTTTTGACAGGTAGGAATCAAATGGTGATCAGCACTTCATCAAGTAAAGGGATTTATACTTTAGTCTGAACATCTTCCAAAACCATTCCAGGGAGCAGAACAGTTTGAGAGGTTTTCTTGCTGTTTGAACCACTAGTTACTGCAGGACCTTATTTATCCCCTTTTCTGTGGGACACAAGTGTAGTGCTTGTGGAAAGGAGCTGATTTCTCAACATGCCCAGCACAGAGCCATGTGCAGACAGGAGAACAGAACAGAGGGTAGGACCGACTCCTCACTTCGACTACATTTTACATCACTCTGCAATGAAACAGGCAAAAATCCCAAGAATGCTGCTCTTTCCCAACTTCTGTCATTGCATAGGAAGCACTTTTTTTCCTCTCCACGTGGCAGAAATCCTCCCCAACAGCTACAGACAAGCAGATGCCTCAAAGCCTGCTTGATGTGCCACAGCCTGGGGAGGTGCTGCTGCCTCCTCTCATCACCAACAATCCCAAATTGTCCCTCTCAGCCTCTCCAGTCCTGGAATCCACAGGCCCCGTGAATGCTTGGCAGCCACATGTCAAACTCTGCCACACATTTTTCCTCCAGCTCACGAGCCATCAGCTGTGAGCTGGCAGGTCCCTCATGCAGTGCCTTAGATCCTGTCACTGCTGGTTGTGCTGCCCGTGCTGGAAGCAACAAAGGGTTTTCAGGTTCTGTTTGAAGATAAAATTGTGAGTTTCCCATTACATCTTTCTGGTTTGTGCATCTTCCCAGGGCTGTAAAAATTGGTGTCTCTTCCCTACAGCTGCTAATGAGCTATTTCATTTTATACACAGTCCGTGAAAAATGCATTTGCTGTGCTAGACCTCTGATTTCCAGAGGATGTTCAGAACTGCATTATACCTGAGACTGGATTTTCAAGAACTGCTTTTATTTGTGTTACCTCCTCTTACTTAAAAAGAGTCAGAACATGTTGTCTCCATCCTGAACGCTCAAACACGATGCTTGCAAAGCAAGGTGTTTGCACTGACCAGGATAAGCAGTCAGGGACTTGTAAAACTGTCAAACTCTCCAAAAGCTAAGATGGATCATAAATAAATGGAAATGTTTATTCTGCTTTCCCTTGTGCAATGCAAAATATCAAAGCCTAATAGTACTTAACTAGCCCACTCAAGGAAGAGAGAAAAAAAAAAAGATTATAGCTTGGAATTCAGCCAGGATAATTTAGGCTCCATGCAGATAGTGAACATAAATGTCTGGAAAATGAAAAGGCCAAGATATTTGTCCTTTCATTCCTACTTTACTATCATGCTGGTGTTTTGGAACTGCAGCCAACTCTTCAGTTATCACAGCTGGGAACTGCAATGTATCCCAGAACTTTGTGGCAACCTTAATTGCGTCTTTATCCAGCTCCTTGGCTTCAGCTCCCCAGGCTGATTACAAGGACTCCCAAGCTGTTATTAAGGGTCTTACTCAGGTCCTTGCCATTTGCCTCCCATGTTGGTTTCTAGGACCCAGAGAAGTTTAAAGGCTTTTTCTTTGCAGACCACATTAAGTAGCTTGTCAGTGCTGGCTGATCTTTTAATTGTTTCTGTGTAAGCTAGAGAAGGTGGTGTTTGCCCTATGTGAATTCCAAAGGGCTCAAGGGAGTTAAGTGTCCAACTCACATCAACTGGAGGAGAGTATAACTCTCTAATTTCCAATCCACACTGGCAAATCCTTACCCACGTAAGTGGGGCAAGAGAGGGGATTTATTTCCCTGCATTCTAATCCCAGGTATATTGCTTCTCCATGACTTTGTCCTCCTGGCTGCAAAGCAGGAACCGATCCCACATTTCTCTGACGCAGAAGCTCCTTATGGATGTTTTTTCACGGGACCCTTGTACGTGATTGAGAAACACTTGATGCAAGATTCCTAGGAGGAAGTGTAGTAGGGAGGGTAACTGCTCACCTCCACTTGAGCCAACATCAATAAACCTCTAGCACAGAAGTAACAAAACCCAACACAAGCTAATTGTGCTCTTTCATCGTGTAGCAATAAGTTTTCCTTAACTATACAAAATGCTAATAATACCACTGTGTGATACAGGTTCAACCAAGGCATAAAGAACTATTTAACCCAGCAGAGACTGCCCAGTAAGTTGTTACATCTAAAAGCAAGATGGTTTACTGGCCCTGCTAAGGCTGTGCTGTGCTGAGCCTGCAGACAGCTGCTGAGCCCAGGGCAATGGACAAACTTTTACTGGGTCACTGTACTCTGGTGGAGCTTGTGGATACTCAAAGATAGACAGCAAAGTCAGGAAATCTACTCAGCGCTTCCCAAGTGCATCCAGCTAGGAAGCAAAAGCAGCAGCTACTGAAAGAGCATGATCCAAAAAGTGTGGACAACCCGGGAGCTGCTGTCACACCAACAAAGCAGCGGCAGGAAACAGCAGCACCCACCTGGACCCTCACCTGGGGATGTCATCTGCCAGGGAACCCACCTGGATCCTCTCCGGGGGATGTCATCTGCCACAGAACCCACACTGACCCTCACCTGGGGATGTCATCTGCCGCAGAACCCACCTGGATCCTCTCCGGGGCATGTCATCTGCCACGGAACCCAACTGGATCCTCTCCGGGGCATGTCATCTGCCACGGAACCCACCTGGATCCTCACCTGGGGATGTCATCTGCCACGGAACCCACCTGGATCCTCTCGGGGGGATGTCATCTGCCGCAGCCCCGCGGCCGCCGCCGCCGCTGCCGCCGCTCCGCTCCGGTGCGGGACCGCCCTGCTCCGGGCGAGGAACATCCCCCGCTGCCGCAGCCCCGGCCCGAGCCCGCCCCGCCCGGGACAGCCCCGCCCGCCCCGGCTCCGCGCCCGACGAGCGCTCCGTGTCCCCGCGGAGCGCTCCTTGCCCTCGTGGAGCGCTCCGTGTCCCCGCTCCGTGTCCCTGTGGAGCGCTCCTTACCCTCGTGGAGCGCTCCGTGTCCCCGCTCCGTGTCCCCGCACAGACTGGAGCATAGCAGAGCTGGGATTCATCCTTACGCCTGGTGTGATTCCCCATATCCACTGCCACCTGGCCACGCGATGTGTTCTACAGTGAGGACCTTTGCCACAATGATTTTCATGGAACAGACAGAACCCGTGCTTCTATTTTGCTTACATGGACTTAGTCTAGACAAAAAATAGCTTGTGGTCTCAAAAATTCATATTGATTTAAGCAACGAATCTGGGTGCTAAAAATATATGACTGTGCTTTGGACGGGCCCCTGAAACAGACTGGTTTTTTGCTTTTGCTGTAGTTCATTGCTGCTGTGATTTGACTTTCTGCTTTTAATGATGTAATACAAAATCTAATAAAAAAACCCCCATGATCAGCCTTTGCAGCCTGAACAGTCATTGTGCAGGGATAGTCAACAGGTACAGAGTGTCATGTAGACTGATCTCAGAAGAACATATCAGAAGTATTAATAAATTTAAAATTATTATTAATACATGTAAAATTATTTTCCTAGAAGTCAAACTTTAAATCTCTAGTAATTTTATGTCTGCTGGACTGTCAGGCATCACAGTTCCATAGGGCAGACAGAAGGGTGGAATGCTGGGTTCATTTACAGAGGTTAACAGATAATTCAAACTCAGTGAACCACTCCAGGAAACCAGTCCACTCTCCAAATTTCTGCAGGACAACTTCTTGTAATGTTTAGGCTCTTACAGTTTGGACCTCAAAAGACCAATGGGAAAACAAGAAATTCAATGAAGTGGCATATCCAAAATTTTCTATTTAAAATAAGAATTCTTCTGAATGGGGTTGCTTTTGTTTTGTTTGGGATTTTTTTGTGCAGGTTTTTTTGTTTTGTTTTTTTTTGTTTGGTTTGGGTTTTTTTCCCCCCTAAATGAAGACTTAAGAAGTGAAATAATGTTTTTTTTCTCTTTTACCCAATCTCATTCAGGAATATTACACCCTAATGATGTTAAAATTTACATGTGTGTTTCATTATCATCAGTTTTCTGTATAACAACCAAATGCAAAATTTGTACAGACTTATGATTCATTTTTGTGCAATTGGTTCCCAAATGGACAATTTGTATGGCACAATAAAATAGATGTTTGACATTGGCACTGGGTGACACAACACAAAGGAAAGGAAGGTAGTGTGATACATGGTGTTAACTGTGATTAGCCAAGAAAATGCTTCTTGCCAGACCCACCCAAAGCCATACATAAAGTACACACCCTGCTCTGATTAAATTCTCAGCTATGTGCTTGGGTTAGGGAGGCAGAATGTATAATTGAAATCTGGGGATAACATCAGTAGACTGCTCCCATACGATAGAAATGCTCCACCTGGAGCATGCAGGTTCTCTTTCCCACCCATTTTCCTTTGGGCATTTCCAATGAAATGACAATACATAACCCTAAAATGCTCATTTTCTCTCTCTTTAACAGTGAACTGCCATCAAAGTTCCTAGTGTTGCATGGGATCGAGAAAAGGCCCACAGGGGGATCTCAGGGGTGAACAACTTCAGTAGGACACAGTGCTCAGTGAAGGATTCCCAAAGGCTTTCCAGGAAGGAATGACATTCCTCTATTTTGATCATTATATATATATAGTACCATGAACTTATGGAATCCTTGCATCTCCCTGACTAGAGGAGGTTCAGCCCACACAAAGGAAGTTCACACTTCCTGCTCACCTGGGCTTTTCAGTTCCCAGCTCTGCAGCTCACAAAGAGCCACCCAAACCCATTACTAAAGCCTCACACCTTATGTCACTGTTTGGGACTGAAGCCTGGAAAATGGGATCGTTTCCCCCAGGTGGTCATTGCTGCTTGGTTTCCTCTTTTCTGGAAGCACTTGCCCTTGCTGAAGGCCCTCCAGAACCGTTCTGATGGGTTCCTCTCCAAGCTTTGACCAAAACCCCAGCCATCAGCCCAGTGAAGGCCAGCACATGCAGGGATTCTGTGCACAGAATCCAAACCAGACGTATTCCACCTTGCTCAAATATGGTGAAAGACAACCCCAGAGCGGGTCATTTCAAACAGCTTCACGAAGTACTGCATGATCAAAATCAATTGTTTTTATAAATGAGCCTGCCACTGCTAAATCCCTCACTCATGCACAACCAAAACTCCGCAAAACCCCCAAGTTACTGAAGTTATTTCAGGCAGGCTCCATGCCAAGCAGTGGACTCACTTCTCATCAAAGCCAAGCTGCTTGCATATTTTGATTCCTATGTCACTGGAATATTTCCCATACATTTATGAGAGATCACCTCACTCCTTTCTCCCCCTCACTCCCTTTTACCACCTCCCTCACCTAACACTTTTCAGGAATCAAAACTGAACAGAATTTCATTTCTGATTTTCTCTTGGCAAGATCCCAAATTAACTGTTTTCTGTTTTCCTCGCTGATGTTCTTGAGTTCACATAGGAGATCAAGAAATCTAACTTCAGCTGTGACTATACTAGGAGGCATCAAGAAAGATATTTCTATGGAAACAAGTTGTTCAGAGGAAAGTTAAATGATTGATTAATGAGTTAGACCAATTGGGAGGAAAAATGCAGAACAAAACACAGGCAATACATTAAGACAGTTAAAGACATGAATGTTAAAGGTGGTGGGGAATAGTTGTCAGTTGCAAAGGAGAAAATTAATAAGCTCACTAGAAAAGGATTTAAATGGAAAATAATCAGATAAAATAAAGGGGGGGGGGAAAGAAGACAGGTTAGCAAAACCAAAAATTCCTGAGAAGGAAATCCATTGACTGAAAAGTATTTTCCCAAGGACAAAGACTGAAACTTTATCACTGCCTATGCTTATGATGCAAGGCAGGTGAGAAAAACTGCTTATACGTGTATTGCAGGGAGAAAGATGTATGAGCAGGAATCTGTGTCACTATTTTTCTTCTCTTGCGACAAGGTTAAGATGAATAAAGTCTTTAACCTTGCTTAAAGAGAGGGAAATAGTATTGTTATTAATTAATTGTTAAGTATTATTTATTAGCTAATTATTAATTAATTAATATTGTTAAATATAGACTCTTGGATATGCTGAAGGGCTGTTGAGGTGAAGACAAAACATTAACCCATCATATTTTAAAAGTTGCATCTGATTGTCACTCTGGTCTCCTTGTCAGAAAGCATCTATGTGAGAAAATCAGCACATTCAATGCCCCCCTTTAAAAAACAGCAGATTTCCCCCCTAAAAACATGATTAAATAGTGTGGCTCCAAGTCACTCAAAAGGCTGTGGGATTACAGCAAAAGTATCCTCATGGTTTGTGTGGTTGTAGTCATTCGAAACCACTGAGACCTGATTTTTAGAGTCTTCACCATCAAAATCTGAACACATGATGAAAATCTACGTGGTTTCCATACTGTTTTCTCCACCTCCCAATGAACTTTGCTTGGCTGCTTTCACTGGGACCTTCCAGTGAAACCTGCAGCAGCTAAAGTGTTATCCTATTTCCAAGCTTATCTTCACAGACCTGAAACCTAGAAACTCCTGCTATGGATTTTGGTCCCTGACAGGCCAGGTAACTGTTAATTGCAATTTTTATGTCTTCTTTTCCAAACTCAGCTTTCAACAATAAGGTCACAACAACTCCAAATGGTAGGGAATGCACCTCTTACCTCTTCTAGAAATCCCTGACAACATAAAAAACCAGGGATAATTCCCCTTGTAATACCAGAACTAAGAATCAAATAGAAAGGTAAAGTGTCCTTGTTATTCCTGTATCCTTAGAAGAAGTTGATCCTTCTATATGGCTGTTTACCTGTTGTTACAATAACCACAACTACCCCGTTGTTATGAAAGGAAATACTCTGGAATTGCTGATCCTGGAAAACAGCAGAGCGTTGCCTTGTCCAGCGGGTGACAGTGACTTGGTTTGATCTTCCCTCCTCTAAATTCTGATGCTCCTATTTCCACTAAGCTTGTGCAATCTGCTTCCCATCAGAGCAGGTCAAATCTCAAGCTGGAATTTAGCTTTTGCCTTCTGCTCTTAAAAGCCAAGCATTTTTTAAAGAGGAAAACACTATGCTATCACAATGAATTCCAGGGATTTTCTCTGGAAACTTTTATGATTAGACTAAACAAATTGAAGAATTCTTTCAGAACTAGTAAAGTTACTAAAATGTGGAAGAGAAAATGTAGCAAAAAAGGACATAACGTTTTGTTTCATAGATTCACAAAGAGCATTTAATTTGAAAAAGCTCAGGAGAAATGTAGTGGGTGCATGGAGTTCCCTAAGGAGTTTCTCCTCCAGAGATGAAAATCCATGTCAAACCTTCCTGCCTGGGAACAGAGCACAGAGGAGTTTAACAGGGAACAGGGTACCCAGAGTGAAATCACAGTCCTGACCCTCTGCCAACTGAGAGAAACAAGCAGAGTAAGCACTTTGATTTTCTCAATCACTTTACTTTTCTCCTATCTCAAGAGCCACTTAAAGGCAAAGGTGACACCCAAGGCAGAGCCACTGACACTTCTGAAGTCTCTACAGGAAGGCATTAACCCACAGAGCATTGGCCAGGACGCCTGAGGAGCAGAGCTCTGCAAAATCTGCCCTCACAAACACACGTTTCTGAGGAAGGAAAGCACTTGATCAATAATGTAACCTCAAAGGCTTCCTTTCAGTTCTTCCTAGCAAAATACAGTCAATGTTTTGGATAAATATAACTAGATTGAAGGCATACTGCAAAAAAAAATTCACCTTAATGTCAACTTCTAACAGTTGAAGTTTAACAAAAGAAACAAAGAGAAAAATGGTTGC